CGATTTCATTAAAACAACAGTGTTTTTAGTTATCCTGTGAAGCCGGACTAGCCTGCATCCAAGCATTTTTATCCTCTATATATTCATTAAGTTTGTAATATGCTTGTTTACATAAAGTTTTCTTTATACATAATTTAAATTCGTATTCATTTAGTTGTAGTACATCGTCTGGTATCTTGTTATAACATTTAACACAGAATCCCATGAACGACTTACTTACTTTCGCTAATCTCGAAATTGGCTGACTTAATCTATTCTTATATCTAGTTTGATAGTGGTGTCTGTCAGACACTTTACCAAACAACTGTAGGTTTTTCCTAACATACATAGTGTTTTCATAAATAAATTGACTAGAAACGGTCATAATGTTGATCTCCTTAAACCTTTCTCTGAGAGATTCGCGACGACCTAGATTGTACATAGCTCCGCTAATGATGTAATGTGAGGATCGCATTGCAATTTGTCGTCTACAATAATTCCCAGGAAAGTTCTCTCTTTTACAAAATCTAACTTCTCACCATTCAATAATATGTCACATTCGTTGCTTTTAACATTTGGCAAAACAAATCTAATACATTTTGTCTTTTTATTGTTTAGTACTAAGTTATTTAATGTAAACCAATTTTGAACTTTCATTAGGGCATTATTTACGTCGTCATAACTATTTGTGCGTCTATTAGTTTTAAAAACTAATGAAGCATCATCAGCAAATAATACCATCTGCGGTTCATTTTTAAATAAATGGGGCGAGTCATTTATGTACACTAAAAATAAGAACGGACCTAGTATCGAGCCCTGCGGTACACCTATAGATATGCTAGCACCCTGTAAATTTACTTTATTTACTTGTACTTTAAGTTGCCTATCCTTAAGGTATGATTTCAACAGATTTAGCGACGTACCCCGAATGCCGTAATGTTTCAGTTTCAGCAATAGTGTCTCATGTTCAACACAGTCGAATGCCTTTAAAAGATCACAAAATATGCCGATGGCATCCCGTGCTTCTTCCCAAGAGGCGAACACCCGCTTAATTAGAGCTACTCCCGCGTCAGTAGTGCAGCGACCTTTGGTGAATCCGTATTGTTGATCATGAAAGATAGAATTCATGTAAAAGTGAAGCAACATCTGAGAAAGCATCCGCCTTTCAGACACTTTGCTGAGCGCTGGTAAAATAAAGACCGGCCTATAGTTATTGGGTTCTGCACTATCACCGGATTTAAACTGTTATGTTGAATGATTAATGAATTGTAGACGGATTAATTATACTTGGATTTATTATAATAATGTGCAGGGCGCACGACGTACACACACTTAGACTATGACAGGTAGACAGCGACGTTGATGACAAGTGTTCTACCTTATATAACACATTATAGTGAGGGGGCGACTACTTACTAATTAGTGATGTTCATACATGTAACATCCCCCTTCTTAAGTTTAAACAATTACAATAGTTAATTACTTAATTTATTTCATTAATTAACCTCTTGGTCGGTTTGACAATACGACCTGACTTTGCCTTGTAGAATTCTGACTGTGGAGATCTTGAATTCCCCGACTCCTGTCTGTCACCCTCATCTCTCCCCTGCGAAGGATTGGACCGCATAGGAGGGTTTTCACTGTCATTACAATATTTATGCCTTAAGTGTACCCTATTTCTCCTATACTTAACTTTATTAACATCTTCAACTATGTATGACCTATTGTCTGACAATCTTTGCTTCACAGTGGCATGTTCCCAATTACTATTAGGATTCCTTTTAAAGTAGACATGATCATTAGGTTGTAGCATTGACAATGGTTTAGTATTCTTATTAAAATACTTTGACTTACGTATTTAAATTATTTTTGACTACAGACTTTTCATATTCTTTAAATCTTACAACCTTTGGCTTTAACCTTTTATATGACACAGGAATATTATCTCTTAGAGATCTAGACATTAACAATTGAGCTGGTGACGACAGGTTATTCTTTGGTGTGTTTCTATAATGTAATAATGCTATGTATGGATCTGATCCATTTTCTTTACATTTCTTTAACATATTCTTTATAATTTTTACTGAGCTTCCTGCTTGACCATTTGACTTTGGATGATATGGGCTAGTAACTACATGTTCTATGTCCCATTCATTTAAAAAATTCTTAAATTCAACAGATTGAAATTGTGAACCACCATCAGACACTAAAGACAATGGAATACCATGACGTGCAAAAATTGACTTTAAATGTGTTATTACATTGCTTGACCGACTATCTTCATATAAAAGAGCTATTTCTATGAACTTAGAATAATAATCTGTGACAATTAAATATGTTAAATTATCATAATACATTAAATCTATACCGACTTGTTGCCATGGATACTTACAAATATTAAAATTTTGTAGTGGTTCCTTTTGATTACATGGTTTGAATTTAGCACATATTAAACATTGTTCTACTATGTTTTTTATATCTGTAGACATTTTTGGCCAATATAAAGATTCTCTAGCTAATTTTAAACATTTATTTATACCTTGGTGACCTTTGTGAATTCTTTCTAACATTTCTCTATACATTGACTTAGGAACTATTAATTTTGAGCCTTTAAATATTAAATCTTTAATGACATGAATTTCAGCTTGAATATTCCAATATGGTTTTAATAATGGATCTACATTATTTTTATTTATAGGCCATCCTTCATAATAATATTTCTTTAACAATTGCAAACTTTTATCTTTCTTAGTTTCCTGGCATAATTTTGTGCTATATTCCTGACTAATTGCAAGATTTGCATACATCAAATTGACGTGACATGACATTTCTGACTCACTTTCAGGTATATAATGTTCCTGAATGGCTGCTCTTGACAAAGTATCTGATATATACATTTGTTTACCAGGTACATGTATTACTTCTAAATCATATTTTTGCAAGGTTAACATCATACGTTGCAATCTCTCTGGTACATCATGAAGTGGTTTCTTAAACAAATATACCAGTGGCTTATGATCAGTATGTACTGTTACTTTCTGACCATAGACATATTGGTGAAACTTTTCACAACCAAATTGTATTGCTAACAATTCTTTT